AGTCTTTCAGTACAAGACGACATTTTTAAATCCTGAAGGAAAAATACAAGTGTTCCTCAAGTTTCATGATTTTCATTCAAGTCCTTACTGCTATGAAGAACAAATATCAGCTGTGCAGATTTCAAAACTGACTATTTTCTGGTGTCTTCTCTTCTTCCCTTTCCATCTGAATAATGGGCTGGGCAAGTGGGGTTGGTTAGCCAAGCCCTGCCAAAGGATCCCTTCCTCTTTCTCACACACATGTCCCCAGAGTTGCAACTCGAGTTGTCCACAAAATGGTTTTGCCTTTGACAAACTCTTATTTATTGACTTTTTGCCAAAGCTTGGTCACAAAGAGCTTGTTCACACATCGCTCTCAGCTGTTGCTGGCAGGACTGTGACAGTAGGGAGAAGACTGGAGCGGCGGCCGAAGAGTTTTCTCAGCGGTGGGGACTCTGTCGGCCAGACAGCAGCGTGGCCATTTGCTGCCTCTGCAGATATTTTTATATGAAAAGCACCACTGAGTCAGTGAGGCCCCGTGGGAATAATGAAGTTAGGAGTTGTTGCTAGGCACTTCTCTCCCCCTGAGCCAAGTGATCAAAACCATAGTGGGGCTGCTTCTAACGCAGAGATGGGTTCAGCATGATCTCTTTGTGTTTCTTCCATGGGTGCGCTCTGCTGGATTTGTGTACCCAGAGCTGTTGTGCTGTGCTGTGTTAGGAGGTTCCAGATCCCATTGGCCGGACATGTCCCTGGAGGCAGGCTTCAGGGCTTTGTTTGCGTTTCATTTTCACGGTGGATGTGTGTTCATTGAGTCAGCAGAGGAGAAAGTGTCAGACTCTTTAGATTTTTCTTTCATTGCTTTTGTCCCTTAATTTTTTTGGTCAGGTGTTTTGGTTACTGGTGAGGGAAGTTTGGCTCTTTGGATGTGTATCAGTCAATCAGTTTTTAAGGCTGATAGCACACCTGAGTAAGTGACACATAACTAGAGGTTCCAATAGCTTTAGAATTATTTGTCTTTGTTATCTTGGGTCATGCATGTATACATTTGTGAATTAGACCTACTCCCTTTTTATAGGTGGGCTTTTGCCAGCTGAGCTTGGCTCATCACTAAATAAAATTTTCTGAAGGTCACAGTGCTTTATATAGTTAGTTTATGCTTTTATTCTGAAACCAGACTGCTGGGAACAGTGTGGTGTGGCCGCTATACTTTGAATATTGTCCAAACGTTTCCAGTACTTTGGTTGGTTCCTTGCAGGAAATGTACCCTAACAGTATGTCTTGTCTTTATCTGCTTATTAAAACTGTGATGTGTGTTGTATTAGGAAGTGGGAGTTTGAAAATTTGTGTACCTCTCCATATTTAATTTATATGATAAAAAATTGGGTGGAGAGAGGCTGAACCGAAATACCCAGATTCTCCTGCTGTCCTGAGGCTTTACAAAATGTGTTTGTAAAATTCCACATTCTCCCTATGGCATTGCATAGGTTCTCCCTGTGCAAGGAGGAGGCTCGAACTCGGAAATGACTGTCCCAATGAGAGAGCAGGAGATTGTGCTACACTCTCTTACCAGGCTGGCTCCTGAGAGCACTGTCTTTTCTAAGGGTCTGTAAGTATGTAGAACTTTACTCTTCAAGGCAAAATGTTCATTAAATTCTTTCTCCTGAACATGGTTAGGAGGCTGATCATTTTATTATCTTGCCTGGATTACCAGTCCTTCTCCGATAGTTGTACCAAAGCGAGCTGTTTTAGTTTTGACTTCACAAGGTAAGACATCACAGTGGGTTCTCTTTATGAATGTGAAAAAAAAAAATCCTTATTTTGTACAGACAGCTTTCTTTTTTGTAACTAATCCTTTTTACTGGTAAATATTGTAAATTAAACTGTGCAACTTGAAGGCTGTCTATGTTAAGTTTCCATACCTCTGCTGTGCTGTGTTGTATGATGTACTTTATGTTATTGTCTTCACTGGATCAGTTTTATGTGATTTCCAGTAGGTTTTGATTAGCAGGACACAGCAAGCCTTTTGTATATGATGTTGTTCATATATTAGAGAATGTTGGAATTCCTGGAAGAATTAGTACTGAGTTTTCCTTTGTGTGAGAGAGAGTGTGTGTGAGTGTAAATGTATATATGTGAGAGTGTATGAATGTGAGAATGAATGTGTGTGTAAATCTTTGTGAATGTATGTGAGAATGAGCAGGCACATATGTGTGCGGTGTGGTGTGTATGTATGTGCTGATTGGGTCTTGGTATATAGCCCAGACTGTCTGTAAACTTGGGATACTCGGCCTCCCAAGTTCTTGAATTAGGCGTACACCACCGCCTCTGGAAGCAGGGTGCTTCCAGATTTTAGGTTTTCACCCATGGGTGTGAGTGTTGGAACTCTGGAATTACATAAACCCTTCCTTACATAGGAAGCCCAGAGTAGAAGGCACATGCCTAGTTTTTTATCTTAAAGGTGAACAGTTTGAGTATGGTTTCCTGGCCTTCCAGTGCAACACAAAGAAGCAGAGCCTTGCACCTCCTTTCTCTACTTAATAGAGAAATAATAGAACACGAAGGAAAGATCCTATTTATTTGAAATGATGGGACATTGCCAGCCTCGTGATGTTCTGAGCTACCTTTTGAATAGCACTAATAATAGGCAGTGTCTCAGTTGGCCGCTTCTTCATTGCCAATTGTGAGATCCCTTGCCAGTTTACATTTTCAGTAGTGACAATACTAAATAATAAAACTTGTTAACCCTTGGACAAAGGTATGGATCTTCCTGGATTTCTCCCTGATAGTATCTTAGAAGCCTGGCCTGGGCAGCTGTGTTTTCTGGCAGTTTGCTTTCTAAAGTGGCTCTGGGTTGGGATTGGGTGATTGTGTGCACAGCCTGTGCTTCCTTGGGTGTGTGGTTTAAGCCCAGGGCTCCTGTCCCCTGGTTTCCCTTTTCCACACTTTTCTCTCTGATCTGTCCTGACATGTTAATGTCTATATGCAGGTGTATTCCATTGTGAATATTTTAGGACTCCTTGGCTTCTGACGTGAAACTCATTTGGGATTGGGGCCTGGGGGGAGTAGTTATCTTGTGTCTTTTCCTTTTTACATGTTTATAAAGTTTCTGGTAATTCTGATACTCAGTTGGCTTTGGGAACCAGTGCTTAAACCAACTTTTTTCTTTTATTAAATGTGTTGTGTTGATAATTTCATACTCGTGTTGATATAGTACGTTTTGATTACGGTGACACTTATCCTCTCATCCCTCTCACACCCGTTACCAGCCCCCTACAAGTCCCTTTCCCGTATTCAGAGAGTTGGGCTTTGTGACCCAGAGTTTAACCAGGGCTGTTGGTGTGTTTACAGGTTTGCTGCTATTCACCGGAGCATGATCATCAGTGGGTACACAATCGAAGACAATGCCTGCCCTTCCCCAGAATGCAGCAGTAGCTCATAGTCAGTCGAGCAGGAAAAGTAGGGTCCCATGCGCCCCTTGGTGGTCTGGGTTGACTCTTGACAAGCCCAGTTTAGCGCAGGCCCATGGCTGGCAGCTGCTCCTGTTATGAGATCATGATTGAAATGGCTGGGCTATACCCACACGGTTTCCCTGATCTCCCTCTCTTCCAGCTCTTAGATTCTTCCTGTTCCTCTGCGTTGTTCCAGCAGCTTTACAGGTAGTGATAAGGATGTCCAGTTGAGAGCTCAGCCCTCCACTGTAACTAAGTCTCTCTTTCTCTGTTTGCTACCTTTTATTGTAAAGTCTTCAGAAGGCAGCCTGATACTGTGTCAGTTTAGCTAAACAAGAATAGTAAATTTCCACTAGGGCCTAAGACTTCAGCCAGGCATAACAGTTGTACCATAATTGTGCTAGTGGGCACAATTTACTTTGTAGGTTGGTATTGTAGTTTTGTAGGGTTTTCAGCAGAGTTGGGCCACTCTCAACAGCTTACATTGCATCTTCTGGTACTATGAAAGCCAGCCATCCAGGAGGAAATCTCCAGCTCATATCCAGTTTGATTTCACTGTCTCTTATACCCAATCAATGTATGTGGTGTCTTCAGCCATAGGGTCTCTGTCAACTCTGGATAGTTGGAGGGCAGCCAAGAGGAATTTCAAGGACCTGTATTGTCCTGAAAACTTCTTGAGCCTCCCTGACCACAGCTCATAAGGACGCATCCCATCCTTAGCACTAGGATTTTGGTTTAATAACACCTGACTCTTTGAGTGTTATTCAGCCATGCCGGCTCTTTACCCTCCTAACTCATTTTTTACTCAGCTAATAAAGTAGTAGGTTTCCATTTGACTTTTTCCTGCAAACCAATTTTTTCCTGTAAACCAATTTTTGAAGTTTTTTTTTTTCCCCAGATAAGGAAGGACTTAAAGATTAAGTCATATAGGGAAGTGTCAAAGATAAGAACCTAACGTGCCGTTCTTTCTTGAAACCGAAGCCGATGCCGGCAGGATACGGTCTGCCTTCAGGAGGTGTGCTTTCTGCGGAGGCAGTCCCCTTGGCCCACCTTATGCAATCTCGTATTTGTTATGTAATCAAAGACAGTTACAATTCAGCAAGCCTCCAGAATGGAAATGTTAGTTAGGAAGGGGAGCTTGGTGTTGAGGAATTGGTAGGCAATTGTAGGCTAAAGTAGAGAGAGAAGCCGTTTGTTCTGGGGAGAGGTACTAGCAAGAGTAGCAACAAAGGCAATTCAGAAATTTGACTGTTAGGGGTAGCAGCCTGAGCCTGTAACCCCAGTTCTGGACATGGAGGTACGGAGATCAGTGCATCCTTGAAGCGCATTGACCTGACCTGAATTGACTCAGGGTCAATGAGAAACCCTTTCTCCAAAAGTGAAGGTGAAGTGCAATCGAGGAAAGATACCCGATGTCCCCCTCTGGCCTCCACACACGTGTACGCAATGGCATGCACAAGTGCACACACCCATACCAACAAGTATAGCACAACCTACACAACACAGTTTGGAGCCGAGAGGACTTTATTGCTGGACATGCAGAAGGCAGTAGGGTGTGGCTGGGAAAAGGCTGAGAAGGTGGGAGTTAGGAGAGAAGGGAAAGACAAACTGGCCGAATTTTGTGTTGGTAGCTATGGAGCAGTTTCTGATAAGGCTTGCTCTGACCTATGGTGCTGGGATTGGGTGGGGGGATGGGAGAACAGTGAGAGAGAGAGAGACTGACTGCAGGATTCCCAGGACTTGGGACGAGGATTGCTCATGGTAACTGGTTTCCACTGGCAAGCTCTGTAGGTCCAGGTGAGGGAGAGGCGGTTCTCATTCGGTGTCATGCTGCAAGGATTTCATTAAGGAGAGACAGCGACCTGTAGGGACAATTAGGTGCCATCCCATATGTCCCATTGCTACCCTGTACTTTGTTACACACATTTTGCCATTTGCTTAATCTTTTCCATGATTGATAATTGTCATTCCGTCCTGGAACAGTAAAGGTGCACCAAATAAAATGCAGGTGGTTTGTGGGATTTTTTTTTTTTTAAGTTGGTTTTTGAGACATTGTCTCATGTAGGCCCTATTGATCCCACTGGGTGGCTGAGGATGACCTTGAACTTCTGATCCTTCTTTTCTGTCTTCTGAATGCTTGGGTTATAGGCATGTACCAACCATGCCTGGTTTATGCTGTGCTAGGGCTCAAACTCAGGGTTTTTCGCATGCTAGGAAAGCACCCTACCCACTGACCTGGAGCGCCAGCCTTGTCACGTGGTTGTCCAATTCTGATGAGTAGGGGTTTGGCCTGCTTTAGGGGAGAGCTAGGGCCTGGTCTCCCAAGAGCATTCAAAGATTTGGTTGTTTATGTAAAAAAGTCATAGTCCTCTGATGCAAGATATTAAAAGAGTTTGAAATAATGGGAAGAATGTACTCAAAATGTTTCTTTTAAAAACAACAAAACGGTCCTTGTCTACAGTGTGTAGTTAGATATTCATGAGCCTCAGACTTGGGGTGGTTTGGGTAAAGGAGATGGTACAGACTGAATTCAGGCAAGCAAGAGTGTGTAAGAGTTAACTGAAGGTGTAAATTTAGTTTGCTCTCTGAGAAATTCCCCTGGGGTCAACGCAGATGTCAGCGTAGTAGGGAGAGGAAACCCCTGCCATAGCGTGGGACCACACAAACCTCGGAATACAGAATTGAATTTTTGGTACAGGACAGGCTCAGTTGGGCAGACTAACGACTCATTGGAAGCCTTCACCTGACCCAGATGAATCTGATTTCTCCTCGGTGTGCTGGCCCTTTCCCAAGGGCTGGCATAGACACAGCGGGCCCTTGTTGAGCAAGGACAATCGCCGTTAGCATAGGGAGCCTTTGGCTTTGGGCTGTACTTGTCTTGATAAAGAAGCAGGAAACCCAGCTCTAAGAATGTAGTGCATCCCAGCCAGGGCCCGCTTCTCTCCTGGTGGTGCTTTGACGTGTTCCTGGAGAGGAGATTGAGATTTTTGTGGTCATATAGGCTCTCAGTTTAAGAAGAACCCTGGCTAAGGTAAGCCCGAAAAGTCTATTGAAGGGGTTTGGAAGAACTCGTGACCGAAGGATTGGCTGAGAACTCTTACATTGGCAGGGCCCCCGGGATCCAGGCGGCAAGCATTGGGCTCATTTCTCGATGGGCCATGTTCATTTCACCATTGGTTCTGTTCTTTTGTTCCCTTTAGAATCCAACTCTTGGGTCTTGTTGGCCCACATTAGACATTTTGCTCCTAGCTTTAAATTCAGAAAAAACATTTGCCTGTCAGTCCCATTACAACTCCCCATAATAGGAGGAGAGGCCATTGTCTAAAAGCACATCAGAGTGCTGTTGCTGGAAGAAGGAAAGAGTGCATGCTGGGTAGGCAGCAAGCCCTGACTGGGTTTGTGTGCCACACATCTGACCTGGGAAAAGCCACCGACTGTGTTTCGTTTTAGCCTGAAAATGAGACAGTATCCCCACTTTTGGGCTTGGCTACCAAGAATTTAGCAGGGAGTGTACAGTTTGCTGATCATTTAGGGGAGGTTCAGAAATGATGGGAGTTGACATTTAACATCAGGGACTGAGTGGCTGGCTGGACTTGAGGGTGGGTACCATGTCTCTCTGGCTCTCTATCACATCTCCAACAGAGCCTTCCCTGTGTAGGCTTTCTGGGAGAGTTATTAGGGGTCTCTGTTGCTGAGACAAAACACCATAACGAAAAGACAAGTTGGGGAGGAAAGGGTTTACTTGGCTTACACTTCAGCATTGCCGTTCATCACTGAAGGAAGTCAGGACAGGAACTCAAACAGGGCAGGAACCTGGAGGCAGGAGCTGATGCAGAGGCCGTGGAGGGGAGCTGCTTAGTGGCTTGCTCCCCATGGTTTCCTCAGTCCACCTTCTTTTAGAGCCCAGGATCACCAGCCCAGGGATGACACCACCCACCATGGCCTGGGTCCTCCCCCATTGAACACTAAATGAGAAAAAGTCTTACAACTGTGTCTCAAGGACACATTTCCTCAACTGAGACTCCTTCCTCTGGGGACTCTAGCTCTGTGAAGTTGACACAAAACCACCCAGTAAAACTGACCTCTTGTTAGCTTGACACACAAACATCACTATTAAGCTATAACCCTTCCTTTCTTCTTATTCATCCTCAAGATCTTAAATAACTTTAAAAGCCCCACAGTCTTTAGAAATTCAAACACATTAAAATTTCAGTGTCTTTAAAATAGCCAATCTCTTTAAAGATACAAAGTCTTTTAAAATTCAAGTATCTCAACTGCAGCCTCCAGTAAAATCCTTATTAAAGAGGGTAAAATCGGCAGTCACAGTCAAATCATAGCAAAATAAGATTCTAACCGTCCAATGTCTGGGGTCCACTCACTTTCTGGAAACCTGCACTCGGGTCACATCTCTGGCTCCACCCTCTGCAGCACACACAGCTTGACTTCTAGGCTCTGTCGGGCTCCACTCCCCTGCTGCTGCTGCTCTTGGTGGTCATCCCATGGCACTGGCATCTCCAAAATGCTGAGGTCTCTGCTGCTACTGGGCTGCACTTTGACCAATAGCCTCTCATAGACTCTCCTCATGGTCCCAAGCCTCAGCTTCTTTGCATGACCCCTTCAGCCTTGGGCCTTTAACTGCCACTGAGGCTGCACCTTCACCAGTGGCCTCTCAGTGTCAAGCCTCAGCTGCTCTCTGTGACCCCTTTATGCCTTCAAAAATCTGTGTACCACCTGGGTGACACATGACCAAGACCAGCTGCCAGCACAAGGTATAACCATGACTGCCTTAGGAACACAGTTTCTCAATGCTCTCAGGAAACAAGTCCCAGAAGATTGCACCCCAGGGATAAATAATGGTCTCTTCTTAATCACCGCTAATTTTTTAACTCCAGCCAACTAGCATCAAGTATCCCAGCAAAGCAAAATTTTGCTTAAGTGGTTCTGTTAACTTGATTCTTCAGCCCCGTTAACCAGAACTACAAAATCTTAATTCAAAATAACAAATGGCCCTGATAGTCTTTTAAGTTCCCTCTGAACGTTCACAAGCCGGGCCTCCATCCTCTGCCCTGCTCTCAACAATCTTCCAAGTTGCCACAGAACATCCCACTGAGGTCTCGATGGCTTTTCTAGGCCAAAGTTCTAAAGTCCTTCCACAGGCCTCCCCCAAACATGGTCTGGTCTGTCATCAATACACCACTACACAGGTACCAATTTGTCTTAGTCAGGGTTTCTGTTGCTGCAACAAAACACCACGACCAAAAGACAAGTTGGGGAGGAAAGGGTTTACTTGGCTTACACTTCAACATTGTTGTTCATCACCGAAGGAAATCATGGACAGGAACTCAAACAGAGCAGGATCCTGAGGCAAGAGCTGATGCAGAGGACATGGAGGGGTGCTGCTTACTGGCTTGCTTCCCATGGCTTCCTCAACCCTCCACCTTCTTTTAGAATCCAGGACCGCCAGCCCAGGGATGGCACTACTCACCATGGCCTGGGCCCTCTCCCATTGATCAGTAAATGAGAAAATGCCTTAAAGCTGCGTCTCATGGAGGCATTTCTTTGGCGGAGGCTTCTTCCTCTGATGACCCTAGCTTGTGTCAAGTTAACACACAAAACCACCCAGTACAGTTATTGAAGGAATAAATAGATTTCATAACCTAAATTCTTTTTTGCTGTGACTGACTCTTCTCTCCATCCTTGCTTTATGTCTCGGTCCCTCCAATGTCTTGGGTAATTTAGCTCTTGATTCAAGCCTTTACCCAGAAACACTCGCCAGATTCAGGGGTCATGTGAGGGAAGCAGATGAATTCTGTTAGGGAAAGGAAGGTTATTTCCCGTGAACCTATTCTCCGAGATTCTACTATTTCCCGAATAGTGGGTTGAATGGGCCTGCCGAAGTTACATGTACCAAAAACCAGAGTGTGACCTCATTTGGGAAAGTAGGTCTTTGCAATTGTAATTAAATGCTGTTGAGATGAAGTCATCTTCTATTATCTGGGTGACTCTGAATCCAGTGGCAGGAGACTGGAATTACAGGGCTGCATTATACAGGCCTACATTTCTATATTGTATGACAGACAGAACTTCAGGGCACAATTTGCACCTGCCACACAGAAGGTGGTCACCTAGGCTTTTGAGACAAACTGATGCCATCCAAAACAAAGGGTCAGGATATGCTTTTGTCGCTCTGCTCCTTTGTAATTTGGGAAGTGGCCTGGGAAAGAGATGTTAATTCAGTCTACGTGAGATGGGAAGACATGACAAAATGGGCATAGAAAGGTGTGGACATGACCACAGTCATTCTCCTAGCTACCTAGGAAGCAGAATGCTAATGAATTTCCCCCTCAGTTTACATTTTGGTATAAAAGCTGTTTGGAGAATAAACACAGATGATTCTCAGGATGTGAATTCTTCATGAGGGATCCCTGAAAACTTCCTCCCAATAAAGTCATGTGAGTTGTGTCTTTATTCCCACACCTCTTCTCTGTCAGGGCTGGCTGAATCTATTGGTAAGAATCTTAGGCAACACATGGGATGTGTGTGTGTGTGTGTGTGTGTGTATATATATATATATATTATAGGTAGATATAATGATGTGGCCACAAGCCAAGGAATGCCTTTTAGAAGCTGAAAGGCAACAGACTGTATTCTTAGGACTTTGGAAGGAAAGGAGGTCCTGCTAACACCTTACTCTTGACTTCATGCCTCCAGAATTGAGAATTATTGTCTTATTTTATATAGTAAAGTCTGCAATTATGTGTCATAGCAATTCTGGAAAATTAACACACCCTAAAGAGCTTCAGTGCTCACCCCCTTTGATGCAAGGAGCCCTCTTTTCTTCCTTTCATCCCTGGAACTTTCTGTCTCTGTCTTCGCAGGAACGTTGGTCATCTGTATTCCAGCTCACCAGCGGCTGGACAGCATTGCCTAAGGTTGTCTGCATATTTCTCTTCTTTGCTCCCTTGTTGGCAGAGACTGTGCATTCATTTCCTGGCCACCCAGACCCGAAATAATCACACAGAAACTGTATAATTACAACCCTGCTTGGCCTATTAGTTCACACATCTTATTGGCTACCTCTTATATCTTAAATTGACCCATTTCTATTAATCTGTGTATTGCCACCTAGTTGTGGCCTACCTGTAAGGTTCTATCTGGCATCTGGTGTCTATCTTCTGCGGCAGCTACATGGCTTCTTGTTGACTCCACTTACTCTCTCACTAAATCTCTTCCAGCCTGACTGTGTTCTGCCCTGCTACAGGCCAAAGCAGATTCTTTTATTAACCAATGGTATCCACAGCATCCCACATCAATCCCTCAAGAACTTTTAACTAATTTAGAAGCTGACCACAGGTTTCTTTCTGGGACCTAGTGTCATAGATCACTGTTATGGGCAGAGGGTACCAACATCAGGTGCTCAGACATTTTATACATAGACGCTATGCTCTTGTGAAACCTCAGCTCTTACTGTGTAAGACAAGTGGGGCTGATGCAAACTGTGGCCCAGATGGGTCACCACCTGGAACTGCAGGTATGTGCCACAATGCTCTCCTGGGTGAGTAAAGTGCTCGCTGTGTGAGCATGAGGGTCTGAGTTCGGATCCCAGCATCCATGTGAAAAGCCAGGCATGGCAGTGCATGACCATGATAACCCCAGCTCTAGAGGGGCAGAAACGGACGGATCCCTGGGGGCTACCTGGCCAGGCTGCCTAGCCGATTGGTGACACGCCAAGTTCAGTGAGAGATCCTGCACAAATAGAGAGCGGTAGAGACAATTTCTCGCCTCCTCGTGTGCACACTCGTGAGCCCTTGCTCCCCTGTGTACGTGTGTGCGAATGTACATGCACATATTCTAATCTGGCTTCCTTTCTGGGCCACTGCTGTGGAGGTTATCTTCTGAGCCTCAGGTTTTTCAGGGAGCCAAGAAATAGCTCAGCCATCCCTCCCAAGTTTGGTGACTGGGGAATAAGCACAGCTCTTCAATGGAAGACAAATGCTGGTTTCATGGTAGAGAAGCTGGCACTTCAGGGTGTGGCTCTGGGGGGTCCTAAAACTTAACCTCAAACTTTGAAAGCCTCCGCTGGCCACTGGCACAGCTGGGTAAGGACAGTTGGTCGCTGCCTGCTTACGTGGGGGAGGCTTCTGGGGGTCCAGCTGTGTCACAGGGCTGCACTCAGTTCCTTCCTAATTACTACATCTTTCAGGGAAGAAAAATGAGAGGTTTCTTACTTTTCCATTTTGGGAAATTGCTTTCTCTTCCCTGGAAACCCAGAGGAAGACTACTAAATACTTCCTAAGAGGGTTCCTTCCTATTCCCATTCCTATGACGGAAAGTGCCTCTTGGGGGACCCAGGACCTAAGTCAGGTTTATGTGACAGCCCCCAAATCTCCATCTTTTTTTTTTAATCAGTAGAGATTTAGTGCCTATTCAAATTACAGTCCAGTGTGGGTAAGCAAGCAGGATGGTGGGGGTGAAAAGGCAGGAAGTGAGTATGGGGCTCAACTCACTGCAGGTGTTTGGAGACTTAGAGTCCCGTCATCTGCTGCAGGGATTTTGAACATCGTTTTGTGCCGTGCCAAGAATTGTTCGTCCCTCCATCTTCTAGGACCTGAGTCTACCATTGAATCCTTTGCAGGTAAGGGTCAGGCCGAGAAAGAGAAAGCTAGGAGAGAAATGTAGATATCTTTCTTAATGGCCAGGTTGAAAGTAGCACACATCACTCTGTGTATACACACACACACACACACACACACACACACACACACACACACAATCATCATCTGTTGGCCAGGGCACCTCACAGGGTCCCAGCCAACCACAAGGAAACTCGGAAATGTAATCTCATACACACAGAAAGAGGATCAAAAGAAGGCTGGAGAGAGAAAACACAAAACCGCCTTAGTACAGTGTCACCTTTCAGTGACTGTGACCCAGCCAGTAGAGCGGAGAGACCGACACCCTACTTGAACCTGCTCTGGAGGGACTTTTTAAACAAAACGATGCTGTCTGGGTTTTAGGAAATTTATATACTGCACGTTCAGAAAATAGTATGTATAGCTTGACAGATTTTTATAAGCTGAATGTCTTTGTTACTTCTCTATGCAGTGGTCAAACACCTGACAATTCAGCTGAAGGGAGAACAGGCTCACAACAGCTTAAGAGAGAACAGGCTCACTACAGGCTCATGCCAATTCACAGTTGGAGAGAAAGTCTATCAAGGTGGGGAAGGCGTCATGCAGGATTATGGGGCAGCAGGTCACATTGTGTGCACAGTCAGGAATCAGGAGACAAGAGGCACTCGGCTGACTTTCTCCTTTCTCTGCATCCAGGACCCCGGGCCATGGAACGGTGCCTCTCACACTTCAGGTGAGTCTTTCTACCTCAGTGCCATCTAGAAACTCCTCAGAGATACAAACAAGACTCTGCCGATTCTAGATGTCTTCAACCTCACAATCAGCCCTAGCCAGTGCATTGCGTAACTAGCGACCCATTGGAGTAGACGTCACCAGCCCTCCACCTTGCACCTTCTTTCTCCAACAACCCCTAAGGGAGCTATTGTCCTGGCCTCGTAGACTGGTGTTTGCCCAATTTTGAGTGCTGTGTAAATGGGATCATGCCATGTGCTCTCTTGTGCCTGACTTCACTGATTTAATAAGGCATTTGTGGGAGTCATCCATATTTCTGGTGCTTATGCTTTTGGCCCTGGCGTGGATAAAGCATGCTTTGTCCATTCCATGTGGGTCGCACTGGATAGATTTATGATATGATGCATAGGGCCTCCATGAACACTCTGTCATGTATCTTGGTGTCAATGTGCATGCCTGTCTCGGTGGCCTGCAGTATGTTTAGGAGTGGGACTTCAGAGTTCAGAGTACGAACATGTTCAGCCGTAATAGCAACCATTGGAAACTAACAGGTTTCCCAGGCCAGTGAGATAGCTCAGAGGGTAGAAGTGTGTGTTGTACAAGCTGCAAAGGAGAACCAACTTCTGCAAGCTGTCCTCTGACTTCCACATGTACACCATGGCATGTGCATCTGTGCTTGTGAACACACACACACACACACACACACACGCACGCACACACACACGCACACACACACACACACACACACGCACACACACACACAGTAAATAAAAATGTTTAAAGAAAGAAACTTGGATCTGGAGAAATGGTTCAACAGTTTAGAGCACTTCTTGCTCTTTCAGAGGACCTGGGTTCAATTCTCAGCACCCACATGGTGGCTCACAATCATTTGTAACTCCAGTTCCAGCAGACCCAACACCCACTTCTGACATCTGCTGGCACCAGGCATGTATAGGGTACACATGCAAACATGCAGGCAAAACTTTCATCACATAAAACAAATCCATCTGAAACTAAAATAAGGGTCTTAACAGACTTCTAACTGAATGGACTGACCCCGGTGGGGTGGTGAGAGTTGTGTACGTTGATTGCCCTCGGGGGATCCCCAAAGCCCTCACTCTGCCTTGCTTTGTCACCCTGCAACCCGAGGCCCTGCTAAAAGCCTTGACTTCTCATGGCCAAAAACGTACCCACAACCTAAGTTTTGGAACCCCAAACCCTCCTCCCTTTTCTTCATTCTTCCTGTCTTCCCAGTCACCCTCTCCAGTACGCAGCCTCGCAGCCTCCACGTTGGAGGAAAAACACGGAGGTCACAAAGGCCTGAAAAGGCAAAGATAAATTTCATTTAGGGGTAGTGGTGGGGAGGGAAGCTGGGATCACTCCTGTATTAATGGTTTTTGTATCCGCCACACAGAGGAAGGGAGTCACAGAAAAGCCCTTAAAGACCATTAAGACGAAATACCTGAGGAGAGTAGATTCTTATTAATATTCAAACCCTCAGGCTTGTGATTAGAGGAGATAGGACTGCAGTGAGGAGGCAGAGGACCCACAACTCTGTAAGGAAAGACAGGGAGGGCAGTGGGGGAGGAGCCTGCTGCGGGGGCTGTTAGATCACGGCAGGGAACCCAGTGACCCCTGGGCTGGGCCCTGGAGGGTCCTGTGGGTGGAGTGGAGGTCAAGGTTCTAATTCATCTTAGCCTGGCCTTGATTAATGTGCACCTGGGGAGGGGCGGGAGCTCAAGCTTTTCCACGTCTCATGAGAAATACATAATCATTAATCAACATTACCGGGTCCCACTCAGACTAAGTGGCCTCTTGTGATTAGGAAGGGGCTCTTGAAAAAAAAAAAGAAGAAGAAGAAGCAGTCTTTTTAGCATTTTGATATTTTCAGCATGTACGTTTGACAATGGCTTTCTTGATGGGGGGTGGGGGTGGCAGTGAGAGGAGCTATTGTCCAGGGAGAGAGGAGTGTTCTCTCTCTCTCTCTCTCTCTCTCTCTCTCTCTCTCTCTCTGTGTGTGTGTGTGTGTGTGTGTGTGTGTGTGTGTGTGTGAATACACTCACCTGAGAAACAAAGACAGAAAGAGGCTCGTGGGAGTGTGCTTAGGCAGCGGGCCATGCACTTCTCTCTAGTGTGCAGGCTGCATTCCCACTGGGCGCCTTTCTCTGAGTGGGGGCTGCAGCCCGCAGGGAGTGAGGGCAGCTGAGGCGGGCCCTTTCTTCTTTCTTAGTTATACATTCTCCAACTCCAGGGTGCCAGAATTAGGATACAATCCAGTCTTGCTTCAAAATGGGTAAGACCAGTGTGAGATTAGATCAGATATTATAAATACACCCTTCAACTAGCCTGAGAAACTTCACACACACATACACACACACACACACACACACACACACACTCACACACACGCTCTTCATCACGTGTCCATTTAGTCCTCATTAGTTACCCTGGGAAGGGTCTGTGGCCCTGAGTTGTTGGGGATACCAGGCTCAGAGGCAGCCAGTGACCCCTCTAACCAGTCATTTGCTGAGCCTAAGTTCCTGTTTTCTGTGATCATCAGCATGACTCGGGATGCTGGCCAGGCTTTGATAGAGCTGGTGTTGCCCTTGGCCAGCTTGATGACTTTGAACCAGTTGCTGAACCTCTCTGAGCTTCTCAGCTTTATAAAGAAAAGCACGAGCCCCAGCGCCTGCCTCGCCGATTGCGAGAACTCAGTGAGCTCCTGTTGGGGAGGAACACGCTGTCCACAGCAAGCGTCTGCCCCTGCCTCCTTCCTGTGCTCTTCAGGCCTGACATTGGTTTGATCCTCAGAGAGGCTGTCGGGATGGTGTTGTTACAAGTAGGGAAACAGAGTGTCAGAGAAGCAGAGAACCTGCTTGCCCTGCCAGGACCTGCTTCAGTGAAATAGCAGTGGCTTCACTTAGCTCCAGGCTCACATTGATGTGGCGCCAATGACAGAAGATGCTGTGTGCCCAGAGGATTGTTATCTCCACCATCAGAAACAATTCTGCTTGCTTTGAAGACAGCTTGGTGGATGTAAGTTAGAAAAAAACAAACATATGGCTAACTCACACTCCAGTGGTCAAAATGGACACTTGTAAGAATGTAGGTAAGCAACATTACCTGCAATAAAGCCATACGAGAAGCAACCCAGTGTCTAACAGTGCCGGAGTGGCTGAGTTCTCGCTTACCGTGCAATGAAATCCTGTACTTTGAGGAGTCTGATCACTGCGCTGCCGTGGGAAGCATTGCTGAAGTTCTGAGACAAGTGACATGGAAGAAGCTGTACACAAACCAGTATACGTGGCATGGGCTCGTTGCTGAGAAATTCGAGGCTATGATGCTAGGAGTTAGGCTAGTGACTTTATTTAGTGAGGGGGTGGTTGTCGGAAAGGCCAATGGGGCTCATCTAGGGCTTCTGATCAACTTACTGGTATGGGTAGTGATTCAGTTTATGACACTTTTCTGGGCTGTATATTCATAATTAGTTTACTTTTCTGAGAGGACATCCTTCAGTTTCATTTGCTTAAGACATGGCTGGGTAACTGAGAGAGTCCTTGGGAAACCTGGAGAACCAGGGTGCAGGCTGTGCACTGGAAATAATACCAATTCTGCTGCAGAGCTTATTGAATGAAGGAACTGCCATCACACAGAATGTGTAAGCGTTATACTGCCTAGCCCTACCTGCCCAGGGATAGCACCTACACAACCGGATGGGCCCTCTTACATCAATTAATGATTTTAAAAAAATGTTCCACACACATGTTCACAGGCAGATCTGGTGGGGACAATTCTTAGGTTGAGTTCTGCCTTCCTAGGTGTGTCAAGACGGCAGGCAAGATTAGCTATCCCACCACTCCAGCATCAAGGCCTCCTTCTTCAACAAGAGTTCAGCAAATTCTGCCACCTTTTCAAAACATGGATGTTGACTGGTGCCTCTATTCCAACTGTTCCTCTGTTGTGGAGTCAGTGTTTGTTCTTAGCTGCAAGAGAGGCAGGCAAAATAAGAACACCTTGGGTTTGGAGATAGAAAGCAGGAATTCTTCAAATGTAAGAGGGCTGTAAACAGAGCCATGAAATATGGCAGAGGGCCACACTACTGGATTTATTTAACAAGATCCTTTGGGAACAATGACCTTATTTTCTCATGGCCCTAATGGTGGAATAGATGTCTGTTGGCATCTAGCTCCATACCTAACTTTTGACACACATTTTCTTCTACCACAAAGACTGAGAAACTAATTTTCTTTATTCTCCTGTCAGCTAGATTCCTGTAGGGTTTTCTTTCTTTTTGTAAAGAGCACCAGTGTGATATAAGATCCAAAGGCAGAAAAAAGTAGAAGTCATCTTCCCCTGGCAGTAGTGTCACTGGTACTTAGGTCCATGAACTCTGGTTCCTGTCTCCATGTCCTCCTCTAACTTTCCCAATATGAACGCTGTAATCACCCACTTTATTTTGCTGGTGGACAGGTACTGAACACACGAGCATCTCAGAGCCTTGGGGTGGAGGTTTTATACAGGTGTATTTGTAAGGGCTAGGAGAATTGAGCTTTCTACCCTATACAGAGAGGGGTGATCAGACAGTCTCTAGGATCATTTTGACTCATCTGTCATCAGAGGGCTGTGGGCGGTGACTGTTCATCTAGATTGCAGGATTGCAGACTGACAGACTGAACGTAGCGATGCTAGAGACCTGGAGCACGTGATGGAAGAGCAAGAGAGCTGTCAGATCGGCCAATCTGGATGCCCATCCTTTGCCATCTTCCAAGGGACAGTCTAAGCACTTACATGTCTTCCGGCCCCAGTTTCCTTACTGGCTAATAGGTTAACACTGGGAGAGCCACGAGGAAGTAAAGTAGGCAGGTGTCTGTGAATACCCTTTGGTTTCCCATGCAGAGGGCATTTTCAGACCCCACAGAAAAGCTTTAAAATCTTATCAGTGGCTCACCTGAGGGAGAACACTTGTTCATTTGACGGGGCATGATCTTTTAGGCCTGGTGCTGGGGATACAGGGGAAAGACATGGCTTAGGAGACGGGGGATACGCTGAGGCTATTTGATCCTTTATGATGGAGGCATTTATGAGGATGTAGAGGAAGCAATGGCCTCTCAAGGAAGAGAGCTTCTCCAGACCTGGATGTGGGGACACTGGAGATTTCTAGAAGCAGGATTTGTAGACTGAGCTTTGAAAGAAATGCAAGAGTTGGCTAGGTAAAAGCAGGGATGGAAGATGATCTAAGGTATTGTGTGCAAAGGTCAGGAAATGAGAACCGTGGGGGATCTGAGGGAGCTCTAGGTGAGTGCAATTCAGGAGACAGAGACCAGGCTGAGCTGCCGGGGAGTAGATTTGTCCCTATCATTGTGGAGGACACATTCTCTGCCCCAGGAGAGAGGTGGCTGGCCTGGAGCCCAGCTTCAGACTGATTTACAGGCAGCTAGTGCCAAGAGTGGCCATGCCACCTGCTCTTAAATCCAAGGCACGTAAGACTCTGTGCCTTTGTCCAATGTTAACACAAGCCGAGACGAGGAGCTTCCCCTGGGATGGGTGCTCTCTGCCCCAGCCCTGCGCACCATTGCACACACAGAGAAGTTGCAGGTGCGGAAGCTGTTCTTGCCAGCATCTCTCCACCCTTTTCCTGCCTTCTGGTCCTGGCACCTGTCACAATCTGATGTCCTTTCTCTGCTGGGTTTGTCAGGCTAGCAGGTGCCTGTTCCAATTCTCCACTTATCTGCAGATAGGTGCTTTTTTTTTTTTGAGGTGACAGATAATCTATGGGATTCTCAGGAAGCTGTTCACCCAGGAGGGAGTTAAGACGCTTTCTACTGCTCAGGGAGGGGCAGGTTGAAGTTAAATATCAGAGAAAGCCAGAAGAGAAAGTGCTGGGCTCCTTCCTATCAGCTCACTTGTGTCAAACCCTGTCCCCTCCCACCTTGTCTCTGACCTCTGTCTGGCAGGCATCCCCTTCTCTAGGAACACACCTGAGACCACCAGTTTCCCATCCAGTCCTCCGCTGTCTTCTCAGTTCTGTCTTCTATCCAGCTGCGGTTGTTGATTAACATGTCTTCCTCCCCTCTTATATCAAGTTGAAGTTCAGCGGCAGTGAATGGTACCAACGTGTTGGTCCCGTGCCAGGTTCTGAATGGGCAGGGACAAAGTCCTGGCGTGGCCTACAATTAACAGAGGCACAGGCCAATGGGGTTTCCCTCCTAGTGGGTGGGAGGAAGGGACCAGCATTTGTTCAGTTTAGTTTACCCAGAAATTATAGTGCTTGTCACAAAGAAAGTCCTCAGTAAGTAAATATTGACCGAATAGTTTTGCACTGTGGATGTATTTCTCAAGTTTCCCAAGAAAGAAATAATGCAAGAGCACTCAGAAAGTGACTCAGCCATGGGGCCTTGCCAGCTGCACGTCTGCGTGGGCCCCTCCTGGGGATCTCCCATTTCCCAGAGGCACAGACATGGCAGAGTAGGACGTGGAATTGAATTATGAGAAGGAGAAAGCATGGGACAGCAGATGTCCTCTAGTCTAGGAGAACAGGAGTGCCCTTGGGAATAGCTTAGCATGGAAGACATTATGTTCCCACTGTGTGGACACTGACCAGATGACAGCTACTTACCCTACCCTTCCTCACTTGTGACAAGCACTGTTGTATACATGGTACTGGTAGCCAAGGGCTACCAGTTTGCAGACCATTGGCTACTGCATTGCTGTCTCTTAAAAGTACGGAGAGCATGGCCCATAGAGGCTAGGAATTTGTTTAAGCCATATCTATTTTACTAGGTGAAAGATGGGCGTAGAACCATGGCCTTGGATTCTATGTTGGCCAACACCCCACCCCAACACACAATGCAGTTGGTTTGTAATCTCTAACTTAATGTGTTATTATCATAAAAGGTAGATAGGGACATCTAATCTTGAGTCTACAGGAAAGGCAGTATCTTTCTAATCATTTAGCCATCTGTACTAGTTACTTTTCTTGTTGGCCAAATAGCCTGACAAGAACCAACTTAAGGGAGAAAGAAATAATTTTGGCTTACAGTGTTAGGGGTTCCCATCCATATGGTGAGAAAGGCATGGCAAGTCACTCTGCACATGTAGTCAGGAAGCAGAGAATGGACCCGAAGTCCTGCCTTCAATGACTCACCTCGTCCAACAAGGCTCTAGGTCCTAAACATTCCACAGCTTTCAAACTAGCACTGCTAGCTGGGGACCAGGTTTTCCAACACAGGAGCCCAGGGAGGACATTTCACATTAAAAATACAACAGCATACCTTCATTTTTTTGATGATTCATTGCCTGCCTGTCCATTATCAGAACATTCAACCATCTAGTTATCCACCTACCCAACATCCACCTAAATACTCACTCAAATATCACTATCTGTTGCGCCACACAAGTATCTATGCATCTTCCCATTTACCTACTTGTCTGTCTATTCACTAATCCACTCAAATGTTCACACCCTATTCCTTCAGTCCATCTGTCCATCTGTCCATCCATCTACTCACCCATTCTCTCACCCATCTATCCACCCATCCATCTGTCCATCCATGCATCCATCTATCCATCCATCCATCACCCATCCATCTGTCCATCCATCCATCCATCCATCCATACCATCCATCCTTCATTTAGTTTATTAATATATATTAAATATCTTACAGGCCACCCAGTGCATGAAGGCGCAAGGGCTACCAAGGAGACTAGGTTGTCTCTTTCCTTTGAGGAGCTCTGCCTGGCATAGCCAGGGGATGAATACAATAGTGGTAATCTGTATAAAGGGACATAGGAAAGCTGGAGTGATTGCCTCCCTTCCATGGCAAGATAAGGACACATATTCGGCTCTACAGGTGACAACTGTCAAAACAGCTGAGTATGACATAAACTCATGCCAGTGATCACAGTCTGGGATCAGTTGCAAGATGCATGTATGTGTTTATTGAGGTGAGCGGAGACGTCTTGGGAGGTTAAAGACTAGCGAGATAAATACTCAAAGGCAATTGTGTATTTTTTTTGGGGGGGGCATTTGCAGCATATAAAGCAGTGCTGAATTAATGTTAAGAAGTATGGCTTACTGTCTTTGGCAAGAGAAAATTAAATGAATAGAACAGTAATGACATCAACAAGTACCCCTCCCTTGCCACGAAGCTTTCGCTTGAACTTAGACTTGTACTTTGAATGTGGAGGAAGGGTTATCTCTCATTACTCTCATTCCGTGGCTAGTCTAAGTTCAACCACTGAGTTATCCCTCCAGCGTTTCCATTATTTTTTTGAGTTCTGAAGACCATGTGTTCCCTCTTCTTGCTTGAACTCAGAGAAGAAACTATCCCAGTTTCTCATAGCTTAGGTTGGGAAGCCAGTCTTTAGCAACTTCAAGCGTCTTTGTGTCTACCAAAGACAACTTGAACAAATAGTTACAAAAAACGTTTGTTTAAAACTGCCCTGTGTCGGGGATGGGTGCGTGGGCTGGAGTGATGGCGGTTATTGCTCATACAGAGGACCCAGCTTCAATTTTCAGCACCTCCACTACAGTCCGCAACTTCAGTTCCTGGGGATTGGATACCTTTTGACCTTCTGTAGGTTTCTAAGCATGCATATCGTGCACATGCATACATGTAGGCAAACACTCATTCACATAAAATAAGTCTAATTTGCTTTTTAAGATCTTGAGGCTAGAGGAGTATACTGGTCAGTTTTTGTCAGCTTGACATAAACCTAAATATACCTAGCAAGAGGGACTCTCGGTTCAGGAATCGCCTTCGTCAGATTGGCCTACGGGGGTGTCTGTAGGACATTTTCTTGAGTGCTAATTGATACAGGAGGACCTAGTAGCTTGCCCAGAAGACAGCATCTTATGGCCTTATTTCTTATCATCTGTCATTTCAATCCTTTCATTCCCTGTTCTGTGCTATTCCCTGGCCTCAGAGGGATGTTATGGATGTCCCTTCAGTGAGTGAACACTTCACAGTTACTTTGACCAGTCATGAGTCTTTGCATTAACCGTTGTTTGCTGCAAGAAACTTCAATAACTCAGAGGGCAGTACCACTCTGTAGGTATAAACATCCATATTTAGAGAGGAATTTGATAGCATATTCATTTAGTAAAATAAGTAAAACTAGTAAAATAATCAGTAAGTTCATCCCTAGAGCTGTGACCTTCCCAGCCATGGATTTTGACCAGGCCCACAGTCTTAAGGCATGAAATACTACTTCCTGTGGACTGAACCTCAGATCCAATCAGAATGTGGCTGGTTACCCCCATAACGGTAATAATGTTGTGGCTTGGTAAGACTTTTTTTTTTTTTTCCCAAGACAGTGCTTCTCTGTGTAACAGCTCTGGCTATCCTGGAACTTGCTCTGTAGACCAAGCTGGCCTGGAACTCATAGAGATCCGCCTGCTTCTGCCTCCTGAGTGCTGGGATTAAAGGCGTGCACCACCACTGCCCGGCTAAACTTGGTAAGACTATTGATGACTCTTCTCCAGCTATTTGCATAGCAACTTCTGTCGCTATGAAAGCCACCCTGCTCAACTCCATCCCATTTCTATGTCCTGTACCCAAAGTACATGGTATCTTCAGTAGTAAGATCCTTCCCTTCTAGTTTTAGTGGGCAATCAGGAGCAATGGCACTAACCTGCATTGTTTGGAGGTCTCTAGTGCCTTCCTGGCCATCAACTTCTAGGGCAGCATCCTACCCTTGGCACT